GTGACGACACGGATCTCCTCCTCTGATGGAAGCGGTGGGTGGTCCTTACAGTAGTGCAATTTATTGCAGTAGTTCTGCAAACCTGGGCCGGCATGAGGACGCATCCCAGGGGGTGTGTCCATGACAGCCGGGGCTCTGACAATGTAAACCTAGATTTATATTAGGGATGCACTGATACTGTGTTTTCGGTATCGAACACGAGTATTGATATTTATAATTCGGCACTTGCCGATACCGAATACCGATACCGGTACTTCTGCTAGCATGGAGCCAGCTTCCCGGGCTATTTGATTGCCCAAGATGCCGGCTCCATGCTGTTTGGCTGGCTCAATGCTGATTTCCCGGGAACATCGTGGAGCTGGGCAAACAGCTGGAGCTGGGTGGCAAGTCATTACCCGCTGCCCGCCTTTCTGATTGGCCAGGAAGCGGGCTCCATGTTCCTTCGCTGCACTGCCAGTTAGAGGAAATTTCACTCTGACCGGAAGCTCCGGTATCGGGAAAGGTATCGGAGCATTTGGGTGAGGACGAGTACTCACATGAATACTCAGTGTTAGCACCGATACCGATTAATAGTATCGGCAGGGGGCATCACGAGGCTGTGTGTCACCCGGAGCGGAGACCGGGTGACACCACGCCTTGACGTCATCGTGCATGCGCGGTCGTCTTATTGACGCCTGCCGGTGGCCATCTTGGTGATGGACGCCGGCAGAGAGAGGAGGGGACGTTCACCCGGCAGGAGGTATGCCGCATGGTCCCCTGCTCTCGCTGACACCTTCGGGCTCTTGGTCCGTGACCGAGTGCCCGACTTTTCATAGGGGTTGACAACAAAATGACTGTGAGTCATTTTGGTGTCGCCCCTCCAATGGTGGCACCCATGTGCAGGCCGCACCCCCCTTGTGACGCCACTGGGTATCGGTGCATCCCTAATTTATATGCAACAAAACTCTTTTTTTTTGTCTTATTTCGAGCAGGGAAGGGTTACAACTCCTGTGCAGTTTTGTTTTCTGTTTGTCATCTGTGTCCTGTTGAGAAGACTTCTGTCCTGGAGACACAACAGGAAGTGAGAGGAAATCTCTCCAAAGTCTTCTTTCCCTTGGACAGTTATCATGGGAAAAAGTGTCCCCGTTGTAAGATTTCCTCTCTTCTCTTGTTCTAGGGACAACTCAAAATTTTGGATTTGCCCTCACTTTTAGTCCTGGTGACAGTGGTCACAGAGAGGGGTGAATCTCCCTAATGGGGGCACAGCAGTAAGAACCTGACAAGAACCCCACTCTATCCCAAACTGAAGGAAAACGTTTTAAAGGAGAACTATGAGGTGAGGGAAAATCACTCAGCCTCATAGTTCTAGCCGACCTGTGACAATGAAACTGTCACACGTCGGCTCAATAGATCGGGAAGTGAGCGAACACATACTGTCGCTCGCTCACCTCTCGATCTATCCCTGCAAAGAGCCGTGACTGTCACTCGCGGCTCCCTGCAGGGATTCCCCCTCCTCTGTCCGATCCTCCAGCGCTGACTGGCGGAACGGACCGGGGAGGGGCGGGCACAGCTGGCTCTGCCTCTAGATAGACAGAGCCAGGCTGTCAATCACGCAGCTGGGTGGATGTCGACAGTGATGTCCCGGCTGCGGCGTCTCAGTATACAATGAGCTTTAGCTCGCGGTATACTGAGCTTTGGGTGACGGGAGGACGCTAATTTGTGTCCTCCCGTTACCCTTCGGAGAACTATGAGGTGAGTGCTTTCCACTCACCTCATAGTTCTAGCCGACCTGTGACAATGAGACTGTCACAGGTCGGCTCAGTAGATCGGGAAGTGAGCGAACACATACCGGGTTCGCTCACCTCTCGATCCTGTCACAGCTCTCTGCTGTGACAGGGGAGGGGCTGGATTCCCCTCTCCCCGCACCGATCCACCAGCGCTGACTGGCAGAACGGATGGGGGAGGGGGCGGGTACAGCTGGCTCTGCCTCTAAATAGGCAGAGCCAGCTGTCACTCACGCAGCTGGGCGGATCCCGACATCGATGTCGGGATCCACTTCGGCTGCGGCGTCTCAGTATACCGCAAGCTTTAGCAAAACCTTCATGTGACTGTATTATTTAAAAGACGTAAATGTTATCAGGATGTTCCGACTATTTTTAACCTCTTGGAATGTTTCCTGCTAAATGGCCTCCCAATGTACAACTAATAAATCATTTACAATGTAAAAGTAACGACTCTCTAAAATTCTTCTCAGGTTCATCCGTCTTTGTAGGCCTGAAGGAGTCATTTTAATGGTGTCTTTCTCCTTTACCTTTCAGAAACACAATGCAACCTGGGATCTTCAAGGTGTGCCTTGTGGTCGTCACGGCCATTGTCAATCACCCGCTTCTCTTCCCCGCTAACGATTCAGCTGTGCCCGCCACTGATGACTTCATCTTCCAGAAACTGAAGGAAAGAGAGGAGAACCTGAAGCTCCAGCAGCTGGAACTCGAGCAGCTTCTATCACGCCCAGAGCCACCCATAGAAGATGACACCGAAACTGAGAGCAAGCCCACCGAAGATGAGACGTTATGGGATTTCTGGAGTGTCATGTCGATGATCGTCTTCCTAATGATTGAAGTGTGGCGGCAAGATTTCTTAGATAACAGTTCGCATGAGCAGAGCAAAGAGGAGGAGGATGACCTTTTGTTCGTCGGAAGCAGCTGCCATGGCGTCTCGTTTCCAAGCAAGACCATGTTGTCTATTTTTCATGACCAGTATATCCGAACGACAACGCATGACGCGGCTCGGACCAAGGAGTTCGTCGAGGGCTTTGCGGATGACTTGCTAGAAGCGCTAAGAAGCGTTTGTAACCGGGATGCCGACATGGAGGTTGAAGACAGCATCTGCGTGGGGAGCATGTACGAAAACTGGAGAGTCAACAAACCACTGATATGTGACTTGCTTGTACCATTCGCTCCTCCGGAACCTTACTATTTCCGCTGCCACCCTTGGATTGCTAGCAAATCCATTGCTCCCAACCAACAAAGTTTTGGGACTATTCTCGTATGTGGACCTGAAGATTCATCAGGTTGTGTCTGTGACAGGAAAAAACTTGGAGAAGACATGCTCTGCCTCCTTCACAACCCAAGCAGCAAGAAGAAGGTCACCAAGGATGTCAACCTATTGTGTTCCATGGACTCCAACTATCTAGACACAGACCAGGTCATGAAATGGTTCCAAACAGCCATTACAAAGGCCTGGGGAAGGATATCACACAAGTATGAGTTTGAGCTCACTTTCAGCCACTTAGATTCTCCAGGAGCTTTGAGAGTCAGATTCAAATCAGGAAAAGTCATCAGCTTCAACATTACCCCGGTGGTTCAGTATGGAGACTCTGACCTGTACTTTATTTCACAGTTCCCCGGCATGGACCGATCAAACCCATTGGCCTCCAGCATTCACTGGAACTTGTCTTTTGCCGTTTACGAGAGGAGGTTCCTCAAGGATATCGCCAAACATCTCCCCGGTAACTCATGTCACCTCAGCTGCCTACAAATTATGACTTTCCTGCACTCCAAGCAGTGTCAAATAACTGGCCCAAGCGGCCTGACAAGTTACCACCTGAAGACGGTCCTCTTGCATCTCCTAGTGACCCAGCCTTATAACGTCTGGAGTAACGTCATGCTAGAAGATCGATTAAGGGACATGTTCAAGAGCCTGGAGAAATGTCTGCTGGAGAAGAGACTCCGCCACTTTATGATTGGGAATTCCAAACTCCCAGAGACGGTCAGCCTCCCGGAACGCTTCCGCACAGCAGAACCTCTTAATCTTTTCCGATCTTTTGTCCTAAACAGAGACCTTTACCAGAGGACCTTGTCCATGTTCTACGAGATGTTAAAGAACGCGACCGTCGTCATCAACGAGTACAGCCTTCACCTTCCCACAGGACCATCCAACAAGAACTCTCATTAGGAACACTCATGGTGTATTTTTGTATCCTCGTAAAAACATGTTATGGAGTTAAATGCTGGATTGGAAGTTCCGGGATACGGACAAGCCAACTTTCCTCTGCCAATTCCATTTACTAGTGTTACGAAATGTCCTCACAGAGGCTTTTATATGTCCCTACAGCTGCTGTTTATACAAAACATTAATCATTCGTTTATAATGAGGACTAACAACTTACCAATACTCAGGCAATTTAAAGGTTTACTCTACTTGGGCAAGGGTGTCCCTAGTATAATCGCTGCCTTAGGCGGGGAGTGGGGGTGGGGGTGACGCGGTGTGTGCGTCCACGTCCCTTGGGTTGTATCATGGTGGTCACGTTCCGGGGGGTGATATGGGGTGCTGGTGGTCCATGCTAATAGCACTAAGGACGGCGTCCTGGTGGTGCACCGCCTAGCTCTGGCCGGCATCCCGCCCAGCTCATTGACATCACTGGTTGCCAGGAGCTGGGTGGGACGCCTCCAGAGTGTCCAGTTTTGGTTGTTTTAAAAAAATATCCACCATTGGCTTTATAGCCAAAACGTTTTTCCTGTTTTTGTTTTGGATAGAGTAGGGAAGGGTTAGAACTACTGCCAGGTTAACTGTTGTACTTTTTTGGATGGATTTTTTAGGAGTTTTAGATAGAGTGAAGAGGGATTAGGACCCCTATCACCCTATACCCCTACTTGCCGGTGGCCATCTTGGTGATGGGCGCTGGCAGTGAGAGGAGGGGACATTCACCCAGTGGGATAGCATATGCCGCCGGGTCCCCTCCTCTCTTCTGCAACTGCCGGGCTCTCGGTCCATGACTCATTTCTTGACTTTTCATAGGAGGTGACACTAAAATGACTGTCAAAATAGTGTCACCAGGGTGCGTGCCTCACCCCCCATGCACCCTCCTAGTGACGCCACTGAATGGGGAGACCCTGCTGACCACCAAGGATTTCTGACTCTTTGGAGGGATTTCCTCTCACTTCCTGTTGTGGCTATTGGACAGGAAGTGAAGGGAAGTCTCCCCAATGGGACACAGATGGCAGAAAAAAATGCTGATAGGAGTTATAACCCTTCATTACTCTATCCAAAACTAAAAAAAAAAGTTTTGGGCTTCAGTTCTACTGTAAAAAATCCAAAGCAGCGGTGGGCAAACTCCTGAGCTCCAGTTGTGGTGAAACTACAAATCCAGTGATGCATCTTCCTCCGGGAGTCATGCCTGTGGCTGTGAGAATCTTGCAATGCCTCATGGGATTTGTAGTTCTACCACAGCTGGAGGGCCAGGGTTTGCCCACGCCCGGTCTAAAGGAACATAGACAGCGTTGTGTAATAAGAGGTGATAAGCACACGGCCCGGATTCATAGGAATATATCTTTACACTGTCATGAGTCTGGTTCTGTCACAATCACGGAGAGGTGGGCAGTGAGAAGGACGGACTCAATGAAGAGACACAAGTATGACTTCAGCCACTTGTCTTCTGTAAAGCACTGAAATATAAAATTATAGAAGTACGTGAAAATATCTTATTTTATGCTACCAAATCATACAGATATATTTTTAAACAATGTTTTTACGACATGGAAAGATCAGCGATCAATGAACATGAACATGTTACTGAAAATGTTAAATAAAATTTTTCCGTTTTCATTCTTTCCCATATTTTTGATCCAGTGATGTCACCACCGGGTCCGTGTGCTTCTATGTGCAATGCAGGCAGGTCATGGCTGGTGGGAGGGGCCGACAGGGTGCTCTATATAGCTTCCTGAAAACATCACATCACTCTGCCTCAGTACTCCATCCTGTCAGCGTACAAGTATGGACACCCGCATCCGTACGGATGTTCAGTTCGGGTGAGCGTATGGCGGCGGTCCACCCATAGAGAAGAACAGGCTGCTGCCTGCAATCACGCGCAGCACCGGTCCTTCCCGGGAGCTGGCCGATACGGCCGTGCACACCGCATGGATCTGTACGGGCCGGCCATTTCTCCTTAGGCCTTGTTCACAACGAAAGAGGGTGCGTTCCAGAGCGGTAGCTGCTGTAACGCACAGCGATCGCTAAGAAACTTCTCCCCGCGTTTTGGGGCGGGAGGGGGCACGGCGGTGCATTGAGCTCAAGGGCACCGCTTCCACGCCCCCCTGCAGTGCGATCAAACGTGTGGCAAAACTTTGCCAGCGTTGCGTTCCTCGCTGGCAAAGTTTTGCCACACGTTCGATCGCACTGCAGGGGGGCGTGGAAGCGGTGCCTTTGAATTCAATGCACCGCCACGCCCCCTCCCGCCCCAAAACGCGGGGAGAAGTTTCTTAGCGATCGCGGTGCGTTCCAGCAGCTACCGCTCTGGAACGCACCCGCTTTCGGTGGGAACAAGCCCTCAGTGTGCAGGATTATTATGCAACTACATGGAAAATGAAAATTTTCCCGTCTCACTTGTTTATTTTCATCTGTTAAAGTGAGAAGAATAATAAACAAACAACTCAAAATTTACAAATAAACATTTCTGACATTTCCAAAAACAAAATCAGTGACCAATATAGCCAATAACATTCCTCGGCCTCCCATCCATGGAGTCCGTCAGTCCTCAGCCTCCCATCCATGGAGTCTGTCAGTCCTCAGCCCCCCATCCATGGAGTCTGTCAGTCCTCAGCCCCCCATCCATGGAGTCTGTCAGTCCTCAGCCCCCCATCCATGGAGTCTGTCAGTCCTCAGCCCCCCATCCATGGAGTCTGTCAGTCCTCAGCCCCCCATCCATGGAGTCTGTCAGTCCTCAGCCCCCCATCCATGGAGTCTGTCAGTCCTCAGCCCCCCATCCATGGAGTCTGTCAGTCCTCAGCCCCCCATCCATGGAGTCTGTCAGTCCTCAGCCCCCCATCCATGGAGTCTGTCAGTCCTCAGCCCCCCATCCATGGAGTCTGTCAGTCCTCAGCCCCCCATCCATGGAGTCTGTCAGTCCTCAGCCCCCCATCCATGGAGTCTGTCAGTCCTCAGCCCCCCATCCATGGAGTCTGTCAGTCCTCAGCCCCCCATCCATGGAGTCTGTCAGTCCTCAGCCCCCCATCCATGGAGTCTGTCAGTCCTCAGCCCCCCATCCATGGAGTCTGTCAGTCCTCAGCCCCCCATCCATGGAGTCTGTCAGTCCTCAGCCCCCCATCCATGGAGTCTGTCAGTCCTCAGCCCCCCATCCATGGAGTCTGTCAGTCCTCAGCCCCCCATCCATGGAGTCTGTCAGTCCTCAGCCCCCCATCCATGGAGTCTGTCAGTCCTCAGCCCCCCATCCATGGAGTCTGTCAGTCCTCAGCCCCCCATCCATGGAGTCTGTCAGTCCTCAGCCCCCCATCCATGGAGTCTGTCAGTCCTCAGCCCCCCATCCATGGAGTCTGTCAGTCCTCAGCCCCCCATCCATGGAGTCTGTCAGTCCTCAGCCCCCCATCCATGGAGTCTGTCAGTCCTCAGCCCCCCATCCATGGAGTCTGTCAGTCCTCAGCCCCCCATCCATGGAGTCTGTCAGTCCTCAGCCCCCCATCCATGGAGTCTGTCAGTCCTCAGCCCCCCATCCATGGAGTCTGTCAGTCCTCAGCCCCCCATCCATGGAGTCTGTCAGTCCTCAGCCCCCCATCCATGGAGTCTGTCAGTCCTCAGCCCCCCATCCATGGAGTCTGTCAGTCCTCAGCCCCCCATCCATGGAGTCTGTCAGTCCTCAGCCCCCCATCCATGGAGTCTGTCAGTCCTCAGCCCCCCATCCATGGAGTCTGTCAGTCCTCAGCCCCCCATCCATGGAGTCTGTCAGTCCTCAGCCCCCCATCCATGGAGTCTGTCAGTCCTCAGCCCCCCATCCATGGAGTCTGTCAGTCCTCAGCCCCCCATCCATGGAGTCTGTCAGTCCTCAGCCCCCCATCCATGGAGTCTGTCAGTCCTCAGCCCCCCATCCATGGAGTCTGTCAGTCCTCAGCCCCCCATCCATGGAGTCTGTCAGTCCTCAGCCCCCCATCCATGGAGTCTGTCAGTCCTCAGCCCCCCATCCATGGAGTCTGTCAGTCCTCAGCCCCCCATCCATGGAGTCTGTCAGTCCTCAGCCCCCCATCCATGGAGTCTGTCAGTCCTCAGCCCCCCATCCATGGAGTCTGTCAGTCCTCAGCCCCCCATCCATGGAGTCTGTCAGTCCTCAGCCCCCCATCCATGGAGTCTGTCAGTCCTCAGCCCCCCATCCATGGAGTCTGTCAGTCCTCAGCCCCCCATCCATGGAGTCTGTCAGTCCTCAGCCCCCCATCCATGGAGTCTGTCAGTCCTCAGCCCCCCATCCATGGAGTCTGTCAGTCCTCAGCCCCCCATCCATGGAGTCTGTCAGTCCTCAGCCCCCCATCCATGGAGTCTGTCAGTCCTCAGCCCTCCCATCCATGCAGTCTGTCAGTCCTCAGACCTCCCATCCATGGAGTATGTCAGTCCCCAGCCCTCCCAGCCATGGAGTCTTGAAGAAAGTGTCTTCTAAAAACTGGCAGTAGGTTTGGGAGTTGATTTTGAGTCCATCTTCAACACGTAAAGGTCCAACTAGCTCATCTTTATTAATACCAGCCCACCATCACCCCACCTCCACCTTGCTGGCGTCTGAGTCGAAGTGGAGCTCTGTGCCTGTTACTGATCCAGCCACGGGCCCATCCATCTGGTCCGTCCAGAGTCACTCTCATCTCATCAGTCCATAAAACCTTTGTAAGATCCGTCTTCAGATATCTCTTGGCCCAGTGCTGACGTTGGTTCAGTGGTGGTCGGGTTTCCTTACCTCGGCCATGTCTCTGAGCACTGAACACCTTGTATTTCTGGGCCCTCCAGGTAGGTTTCAGTTCTGGAATATGACGGCACGGGAGGATAATGGCTTCCTGAGAGCTTCACGTTTCATTCTTCTCAAATCTTTGGCAGTTCAATTGCTTCTTTCTTTCTCAACATGTTTCTTGTGACCCCGTTGACTATTTGCAACAAAGCGTTTGATGGTTCTGTGATCTTGCCCCAATATCTTAGCAACTTCAGGCCCTCATTCACACTGCTAAGAGCCGGCCCGTACAGATCCATGCGGTGTGCACAGGTGCTGTGTGTGATTGTACGCAGAAGTCTGCTCT